TAACTGACAGCCAAGGTCAGCGCCTGATCTCAGATCAGCGATCTTCCCTCGGTTTCATTTACATTTAACATTTGGTTTTGCCCTCCCACCAAAGCAGCGTCCCTGCCCTCTCTCTAAGCAAACAGAATTTCTTTATAACTGTATATCTCAGATTTCTGTATAGTTTTTTATTTCATATTTATATCCTGTTCATAGCCTGTACATAGCTTGTACTCACTACAGCCTGTACATACGTATAGTTATAGAATATTCATAACATACTTCATACCGTGTACATTATAACATACCATAATAAACCCATTTCTGTAATATACTTACATATCTATATTATTGCTAATATATATTGTAATATATCTATATCATGGCTAAAGCACTTCTGGATGGATGCAAACTGCATTTCGTTGCCCTGTACCTGTGCATGTGCAATGACAATAAAGTTGAATTCTCTTCTATTCTATTCTATTCTATATGATCTGAGAATTGAATCACAAGCTTGTTTCTATACTGCAGGAAGGAGAGAACTCACACAGCCCTGGGGGGTGTCCTGTACTCCTGCACGAGTGAAACAACCAGGTTACCTTCCACCTGCTGCTGTTTTTTAATTATATAAAAAATACACACCTTTGTGTGTCGTGATGTTTAGGAGACTGTGAGGGAGGCTGGTGTTTAACGCTGAGCTCAGACCCATCAAAGCATCATCAGATCTCTGCTTCACTCCACAGCATCTCTACCAGAATGCAAACAAAGCATTTCATCAAGGTTACGTTAGAGCTACAGGTCTCATTATTTTAGGGATGAAGCTTGAGTCAGCTGAGAGCCGAAACAACAGACTCCAAGCTGGAGTCACAACAGCAGACACAGTGTTTAGGAGAAAGTCCCATCACATCCACGGGACCTGGTGGTGTCTAGTTTTTTAAAAACTGTTCACAGTGCTGGGATCAGTTATTACTTTGTCAAATTCTATTGAGTGACAGATTCTTACATTTAAGTCCTCGTGCTTCCTTTAGCTTTCCTCTGGTTGTTCTTGAAATGTCCTCGACTGCACATCAGACATCAGATGGAGGTTTTCTGATAATCACCAGCTGAACACAAGATGAACGGAGGCACAAACTTCATTCACACTTCACTTTACACCTCAGCCAGTTTTCAGCCAGTGAAGTTTTTTGCACTTATTTTTAGTCACATCATTTTCTTTTCAGCTCATTTCAGTGAAACAGCTGCTAATAAAAGAAAAAGCCAGCTTTGCAAAAACCTGAAAGATGTGCACGTTGGCAGCTGTGTTTGTTGGAGAAGGATCACATGACCTTCAGTCTGCAGACGGCGGGTTTACCTGCTGCACAGGTGGAGCTGCTAAGCGCCTCACTCCTCCCCCTCAGATAATTACTGTTTTTTCACACCACTGACCTATTCACGGTTACGGTGAGAGGAGGAGTACAAAAAGCCCGGGCTGACATTTGACATCAAACTCCTTTAAAGCCGTGCAGGGAACATGGCGTCATTTCGCTGCTGACTGTTCTCTGAAATGACCGCAGCAGTGAGGTCGTTACCAGTCAGTTTCATGTATTTGGAAATGCAAATTAAAATGTTAAAGCATAACGAAGAGACGCACGTAAGCTGTCCCTTTTTAGCGCCTCTCATTTGTCTCGTTTGCCGTCCTGAAGGACCCGGAGCTTCCAAACGTCGTCCCAGAGAGTCCGGTGGAGCAGATCGTGGAGTTCAGTATCGACCTGGTGGATCCGGGTTACAGAGAGCTGCTGGATGACCCGAATTCCCCTCAGTACATCGACCTGGCACAACACCTGCAGGACCAGGTGAGACCTCCTGATTCCTTTTTTTACAACCTCTGCTGATGAGAAAAAAAAAAACTACCTCACTCAAACCAATAGAGAGAAGTGGGAAAATAAATCTAAGCTCCCTAAACTGCTAAAGTGATTATGACCCAGCATTTTGAGGTTATTGTCTTTTTGTGAATTCTTTGTGTTTGGAATATGTTAGTTTTTCTTAGCATTTGCTGTATGTTTAGTTTAATTTGTCTGGTCCAGTTTTCTCATCAACCCTTCTTGTTTACATGTGTCCTCCCTGTGCTCTGTTCCATGTCTCCCCTGTCTGTCATGTGTATCCATGTATGTTTCTTCAGCCCGTCATGTCTCACTCCCTCTCTCTGTCTCTCGTGTCAAGCTCCCAGTTTACGTCTCGTTTCCCTCGTCACCCTCTTGTGTATTTATGTAGTCTTTTTTTTTTTTTTTTTGCCTGTCCCATTTGGTTCTTTAGCCGTCAGAATTGTTGTCTGAAGACCAACAAGGATACCCA